GAGAGAATTTTTAATATTTATTTTTTAGTTTTAGGTGGACAAACATGTTTATTTTATTTTTATGTGGTGCTGAGGATTGAACCCAGCACCCCATACATGCCAGGTGAGCATGCTACCACTTGAGCCACATCCCCAGCTCAACTACTCTATATTTTTAATAATTACTGTGAATAGGACTGTTTGATTTCTTTTTCAACTAAGTTGTTAGATTTTAGATATGCTAATTTTTGTATGTTAATTTTTTATCCTGAAAATTTACAAAATTTGCTTATCAGCCTAAATATGTTTTTTAGTAAAGTATTTTGGTTTTCTCTACATAAGATTATATCATCTGCCAACAGGGACAATCTAATTTTCTCCTTCCTAATTTGGATGCCCTTTATTTTTCTTGCCTAATTGCTCTAAGACTTCATTACTGTGTGAAATAAGAGTGTTGAAAGTGGGGGTCAGCACAGGATTCCCAGCTGTTTGCCCACACAGGATCCAGACACCAGTCCCTTGCAAGATACCTGGCTGCTCCCCACACACAGAATCTCCAGCCACCACTCCCAAATGGACCCCTGTCTGCCAATGTGGGGCACGCCCAGTCACCTCCATCTTGGGATATTGCAACCACTGCCATAGTCCCTTATACATGGTAGCCTGCAGCTGGGGACACAGGACAGAGTCTGGAGACAGCCACCAGCCACAACACGGCATGCCACAGAGCTGCATCTCTGAACACACTGCCTAGCTCACCATTTTTGTATAATGTGAAAATACCATAAATCTCTTAATAGCAACTATTTGGTTTAAAACTGTATATTGTTTGTATTGGGATCTACTAAAATTGTTCTCCCCCTTAAAGGAGAGGTATTGTAACCCTGCAGGGACACAATAAGCCCATAGGGTAAAAACTCTATCAGCTTGGATCTGCAGTGCTAGAAAGGAAGATATATGAATATGAAAAAACAAGGGAATAAAGTGCCCCAAACAAAACAAGACACCACATTATTACAATCCATGGCCAATACAGCAGAAGAAATGTCAGGGAAGAAGTTCAGGATGTACATAAATAAAATATTCTGTGAATTAAAGGATGATATAAGAGCAAATACAGGCAGAAAAAGGTCATTTCTTTAAAGAGCTAGATAAGCAAATACAGGAAACAAAAGATTACTTCAATAAGGAGATAGAGGTTCTGAAAAAAAAGCAACAGAAATTTTTGAAATGAAGGGAACAATAAACCAAATTAAAAACTCAGTAGAAAGCATCACCAACAGATTAGACCACTTGGAAGACAGAACCTCAGACAATAAAGACAAAAATATAATTTGAAAATAAAGTTCCACAGTAAAGATGGTAAGAAACCATGAGCAGAACATTCAAGAATTATGGGATAACATAAAGAAACCAAATTTACTAATTATTGGGATAGAGGAAGGCATAGAGTCCCAACTTAATGAAACTATATGGATGAGCATTATGTTAAGTGAAAAAATCCAGACACAGGAAAACAATTACTACATGTTTTAACACATGGAAGCCAAAAATTGTCAACCTGAATGTAGAATAGTGATTAGTGAAAATTGGAAGGGTGGATGGAAGGGCAGATAAAAGGAGGTTGGATATGATTAGTGCATACTCTATATGTCATTCAACTATTACACAAAACCTCCTTAATTTGTACAATTAATGTGTTAATAAAAAAATAAAAATATATATTTTTTAATTTAATAACTATAAATACAAATTCTAGAAATTTGTCTTTTCATCTGACTCTTTAATATTTCATAATATTTCCTTATTTATATACTTTTTAGTAACAGTTAATGTACAAAATTCTTTTTAGATATAAATATTTTGTTGCAGTATATAAATAAAAAACACAAAAAAATAGTAAATAAAATGCTTTGCACAAGTTATATTGATTTAGTGTAGCCCAGGTTTACATGCACTCAATCACTGTATTTAAAAGGACATGGTATTTATATAAAGCTTTCAAATCAGATCATGAATTCACCTTGTCAATGTGTGTATATATTCTTTTTTTTTTTTTCAGTGCTGGGTGTCAAATCCAGGGCCTGTGCCTGATGGCATGTACTCTACTACTGTATACCCTATATACACCCTTTTAATTTCTGTGCAGTCTATAGTTCTCTACACTTTTTCCTGTGTTTAATTATGATGGCTGTTACTTGCTGAGACAAACAAACATGGCTTTTTTATTTACTAGCCAACAATAACTACTTTTGCCTACTCATTAATTTCATTCATCTTGCCAAAGCCAAGAGTGTCTTGATTTTTCCCAAAAGAACTTCAACCTGGTTGTGCATATCTGAATAATACCCATTTTATTTGGGCTCTACATTGTTAAGATGCTTGATATGTTCAATTTCATGCTTCTACTTCACTTCTATTATTTTGATCTTATACTCAGAAGGAAACATTAATTCTCTAACTGGAGACCCTGTTCTGATCATTTTAATCCATTTTTCATACTGCATCCAGATTACATTCTAACATACCATCTCAATTTCTGTAGAAGTAACTATATACTCCACTGCATTTTTAGAGTCATCATCTGGAAGGAAAGTAAAAAGAGACAGAAACAAGGTACAGAGGCAAAGCGAAAAGCATAATCTGCTTGCCTGAGCTGCTGGCTTTATTTACATAAATAGGTTACTTTAGGTCATTGGCATCATTAGAACATATTGTTCATTGTATTACTAGGCAGGTTACAGACTTAGCAACATTATGCAGCTTATTCTTCAGTTACAAACTAAGTTGCAATGTGCAAAGCTTTGTGTAGCTCTCTTGAGAGTTTATTGTATAAAGTTAATGCTATGTGGTCAGGTTTAGGCTCAGTGAAACATTTTGATTGTCTAACAAGAGAGTTCCTTTGTTCCCAGGAGCTGAGTGTTTGAGATCAAGGTCAAGGCTGATAAGACCCTACCACAGAGCCTTCACTTGAAAGACATTACCATAGCAGGTAGACAGTGCACATGTACTAGTTATCTTACTAACTGCTGGGAGAAACTGCAGAATATTCCAAGTGTGGAAAACAAGGTGTCCATTACCCCCCAGAAGTTTGCACACCAAAGGAATGCTGCCTAGTATATTTCCACAGCCAGAATCCTTACAATCATTCCTATTTCAGAGCTGTTTTGTATTGCTTATTTAATATTCTGTCTCCTTAAACTGTGATATTTTTGAGATCAGACCCTATGTTATACAATATGATGTATATCTTAATCTATTTCCTGGAATACAATTCTCAGGATATGAATGATCATATCATAGATACTGACAAACACCAGGTTATATTCTTTACTTGAGAAAAGTCCTTTACTCCTGTGGTCCACACAGAAGTTACTATACTCATACTGAAGATAGTTCCTACAATAGAAGAAGAGGTGCTATGTTTCTCTGACACTTCAGTACAATCTTTGAGCATTATGACATCATTACTCAGACAAGGCATCTCATCAGCTCAACTGGCCTCAGAGCTTTTGATTTAAATTCTTTCTAATATAGACCATGTGAAAAAATAATAAAATTAAGATAATGAGCTATTTAAAAATTTGCAAATATTAGCTAATAACTTTTCCACAGTATTGTATTTATTTAGTCTCATAATTTTGTGGGGATACTTTTTCTATATAAACATTTTACTGCCCATATATTTTCCCAATTCATAAATGGGTTTAAAGTCTTCTTAATTTATGCCTGTGGTTAATAATCTAAAAAAATAAATGATATTCAAGAAATGAAATTAATTTCTCTACCCTTAAAACTAAATCAAAACACACATACACACATACTAATATTAATATTTATGTTACTTTATCCAATAGTGACAGAAAATATTTTATTTAACCAAATTTATAAAAGAAAAATTGACTTAAGAAATATGAAAACTACTTATGGTTTAGTCTGTCACTCAGGCGTTAGTTTCATTTTATCCACAGACTCATTAGTGCAATTTACAACTAAGTAAAATTTATTAGTAGTGATGTGGATATAATCTAGTTGTTTTTTCTTATTGAACTGGTCCTCAATGGGAGCAGTAGAAATATGCATATGCCAGGTTACCTCAAATTTTATATTCTGATGTCTAATAATTAACAAAATTCCCAATCTCAAGTTAGATGTTAAAAGGAAACTATTTCTGCAAATCAGTGTGGCTTAAAAGAAGGAAAGATTAATAAATTGGCTGAGGAGAACCAGAATTTCTCTTTGATTTTTAATACCAAAGGGTTTGATCTCAAAAAGATAGGAATAAGATGAGTCCTTTAAGAGTTTCACCACAGGCATGATGGAGAATTTTTATATGGTCATCCTGTATCAGGAAGGATTAACTAAGTGTAAAACAACAAGTGTCCTTGGTGTCCCTGCCTCAGTGTCACTAATGAAAGTCAAATGTAATTTATGTTATTGACAAAAACTAACTAATGCTAACTAGGAATTAGGATAGTGTCCTTGGAGAATAAAAATGCATTATAGTACCAAGGTCAAGATGCATCATCAGTGTATTATATCTTTGCCAAAAAATAACCATCTAAATAATATTTTGGGTTTTTGTTTATTTTATTCACATTTTGTTGATTGCTAATAATACAGAAATTTCTTCAATATGTACTGGTAATTTATTCTTAACTAATACAATACTACTACCCACTAGTTGTTTTTGATTAAAAGTATTTGCTGAATTCTTATCATTCCCAGGATATTTTCACATCCTCAATATCTAGCTGTCATTAAGTCTTTGCAAATCTTACATATTAGAAATATTATTTCATGATTTAATATTTGTACTAATTATAGTATTGATATTTAGAAGAATTTGTTAGATAATAGCTAATAGCTTTTAAAAAGTAATATAAAGTATGTTCTTGGTTTTGACTGATGATTTCTAAATTTACTACCATTATTTGAGCTTTTCTTTTAACCCTGATCTTAACATATGTGTTACTTATATTTTCTTCCAGTAATTTTATTATTTGCTTTGTTTATATTTACATCTGCATTTTATCTGAATTATATTTTGGTGTAAGGTAAAAGGATATATAATTTTCCCCCAAGTGATTAGTCATTTTATGACTTAATAAAGAATCAACTATTGTGTTAATTTTTTTTCTCATCTTTCAATTTTTTTTTAGAACTTACCCTATTTCTTCATTTGGAAAGGAAGAAAATGAGTCATCTTCAGTCTATAATTTTCCTATCTTTCCTTGCTTCACTTTCACTCCATATTTTTATCATCTTATTAATAGATCCACTGGATGGGAAAAGAGAAAGAAAGGATTCCTGACACATAATGTTGAATTACTACTTGTCCAATATTAAGCAATAGGGACAAGAATGAAAAGTTAATTTGCCAGTGGAACTGGATTGCTTTATAGAGGAGGGAGGTGTCATCAAAGAAGTATGATAAAACAACAAAAGAGAGAATGGGTCTCATGATAAAAGCAAGAAATGATTGAGTAATTGTAATCCACATGCTCTGTTGAATGAAAAGGGTAATAAGTAGAAGACTGTTAACAGAAGTGGAAATTAGATGAGTCTAGAATTTGACTTTCTAAAAATATCAAATAGATGAAATGATTAATTTATTAAAAGTTCCAATTCATTCATACTTCCAGAAGAGTAATAAAAACTGTGGTGCTCCTACATACCCATCATTTCATATCAAAGAAAGTTTTGAGATCTAAAATATGTGTGGGATAAAATCAAGACTTTTTTAAAAA